CTTAGTGGTATATTAATACAATGTGTTAGAAGACAGAAGTTAAAAGAAATAGCAAGATAGTGATTGAAATACTTTTCTAATACTGAAAGTAATTTTGGAATAGGCAAATATAAAAAACCAAATTCGAGCGTAGCGAGAAACAAAAAATTTGGTGGGTGGCCTTGATAAATTTTAAACTCCCGGCCTGGATTTGGTTCCCACTCCGCCCCTGGACTCTAGTCAGTCCGTACACGTTCGATTATAATACCTATGTTATGTATAGATATATTATACAATATACATTTAGACATAAACAAGTTAACAAAAGTCAAAACCAGACATTTTTTGTATTTTATTTCTTAATATATGGAAAAGTGTTGTCATCAGAGAAATTCAAATTAAGTTATAATTTAATTTAAACAAAAATAGAAACAGAAATAGCTTATAATATAGCTTTCAAACTTTTGCCTCATAGCAATATTGGTAGGTACAGGATTAGATACCTATAGGTATAAGTCTACAATAGTACAATGGTTTGAATTGTTCGGATATTTGAATAGTTTTGAAATACTAATTGTATACCTACATGACGTGTGTGAATTTGGCCCCCCCATTTCGGCCGAATCGACCCGGACCAATTGTAAGTTAAAGATATTCATTTGTAAGTATTTGTAAGGTAGGTAGTTTTTAGAATTTGTAAGGCAAGCCCCTCCCCGCTGGTGAATTTCTTACACAGTGTTAAATATCTTGGTAAATGTTTGTGTTTAACAAAATACTATGGTGGTTTATGACTTAAAAATATAGTACCTTCAAAATAATTAACTTTTTTTTAACTGAGATAAGTTAATTTTGTTGGTGGACCCCCCTTGGGCTTTTCGCCACCACATGCGGACCACCCCATGGGAGGGGTTGAACGTCATTACTTCTGTGGATTTTAAATCTACCCCCCCCCCCTCCTCAGAACTAGGATATATCGGCCACTGGTTGCCTGCAGTTATTACTGTAACACATAATATGTTATTATATGTTCAAACAGACAACGGTGCATGTTTGAACAATTATTAGTTCAAAAGACAATTTGTGTTTTCAAAATTTCCTTTTATTCCGTTTAATTAATCAGGTCCATCGTCCATATGAGTGTCGACTAACAAAACCAAATTTAATAAGCTAAATTTTTTTACGGAAATTGACCTTTATGTCAATTAAAATATGTATATTTGTAAATCGTTTTCGTATAAAATAAATTAGGCGTAACAGTATAATACATTAATACACTAAGTCACTAACAGATACGGTTTTAAGTTTTACTGCACCATTATTGCTGCCCCTTGGTAATTTTTTTTCCGCCCCTATAGTACATCTTTTTTCCTTTCCAACAGTAATTTTTTTGGATGCTAATTTTTTAAGTACATACCAATAGTCTATACCTACCTTTGGTATTGTAGTAAAAACGGTTTTTCGTGAGGTCACCTTACCCGCTCAGTACCGTAAAATTGGGTAATTTCCTAAATTTTTTTGCAAAAAATAGGTTGATATTCTAGTTTAAAATTCGGTAAAAAATAATATATTACCAAGACACGTCTACAATGCTAATAGAGTCGTTTCAATCAAAATTTATCCAAATTAACTAATGTTTTAAAAATTTGAAAATTTCCTGAAGTCATCATATAAACTGCAGGGTGACTTAGGACCCACTCTTAGTTGCCTATGGTTTAAAAACGAGTTAAACAACGTCTTTGCCCTTTGATGATTCTGGACAACATTTTAGGTTTTTAAAAATTAAACATATCAGTATATCACCTTTTCAATCAAACAAAATAAAAACAAATTAAATGAAAAAACATAAATTCATTTCACTCTTGGAACAAATAAAATGTAAAAAAAATATATACTCATCATCGTCTTTATATGCGGTAGTGCGATTAACATTTTACAACGCATTGTTGTGGCGTTTTTGTTTATTTTTACACTAATCAATGGTGTTTCCTTTTTAAATAAATAAATGAAAAAAAAAACCAACTAAAATAACTTAAATTGTATGTATTAATCAAAAATTATGTCTACGCGACGTAGTTCTTCTTTATGACTTTATGCGTTGTGAAATGTTGGTAGGTACTTATAGATACCAAAATCTATAACTATACTATTATAAAATACTTATACGTTGAGAGAAAAGTTTTCCCGTGCAAAACAGTATTTACACTAGAATACGCGATGGTAGGACGGCGTGGGTGTTAAATTATATTATAACACAGCGTCACAGCTAGGCCCAAAGTTTATAAAACCATAGGTACATTTACGTCTATTTTTGTTTAATATTACACATATTATGTTCGGCGATTGCACAATACCAAATTGTTTAATTCATCTAGAACTGAGTTTCTCAAACAGCGGTCCACAATCATTTTTACTATACTATAAGGCAGAGGTGGCATATTATTTTAACGTTATGTGGCAAAAATTACCCTTCTTCCTTTTCAAGCGTGTCATTTAATTACGAAAAGAGATAGGCCATGAGGTCGCATGTATTGTGAGCATTCAGCTATGTATCGGTCAATAAATATTGCTTAATTTTATCTGTAGATATTAATACACGTAATATAGGTAGGTACATTGTGGTCTTAGGTCATATACATATGATCTAAGAATGTGATATTATAGTACCTATAACATAAATATTTTGATTTTTCGCGTTCAGTGGATTTGCCATCGCCTCTCTAGGGGGTCCAGTGGAGGAAACATTTCGAAAACGCTGATCTAGAATAGATTAGTCTGATCACGTTTACGATTTAACATGTACCCAGGTTCTTCCTTATTGGAGTGATAAATTAAGGTACCTACCTATCTATTAACAAAGCTGTACACATTTTATTTTTGATATTTTATGCTTTTTATGCATTTGAGTATTTATTCTTGTAAACATCGTAGTAACTATTTGCCATTTGGTATTAAAAAACTACAAAACTAAATTAATGCGACGTAATTTATAGATATTGGTTTGCAAATCGAATATTATGAAAGTTCATGCAGTAGACCTGTTGATAAATTTGTAAAATAATAAACTTAATATTATATACCACCTATTAGACATCAGTCCGTTCATTCTTATAAGTTATAACACATTTTCTTTTATCGGTCACTTGTCAGCTTAAACGTTGGCTAAACACAGAGAAAGTGAATCAAGTCCCTCGATGGCTTACAAATGTCGCAATATGGTAAAATTAATTTGACATCCTTTAAATATTACAAAGTTTGAAGCACCATAATTGTGCACCTATTTTTCACATTCCAATAGTCAAGTCCTGCAAAACGAATTGCACTCTTATAATATGGCTTACAAAATACAACACTATAGGTGTCCAATAATTGGACATAGAAAACTTACCTTACCAACGTTGACCCTCCAGCTCTCCTTTTAAAAATGTTGCAATTATTTTATTATTTTCAACATTTATCATAATTTTCATATTAATGAAAAGCGAATCACACTTCAAATGGCAATTCCAAAAAGCTCAGCTTGTTGATTTAATACAAGGCACAATATATTCATACCATACCTGCCTACTCTCTGAATGTTAAAACTATAAATAATATACATATTTTAGATAAACTACTTGGAAAAAGTGGAAGTCTTCACCACTGAAACTAACATTTTTGTCAATAGCTAGGTATTTATTATTTGAAAGTCACACATTACATTTTTTGATAATGAATTGTTATTGTATACGATAAAATTAATCTAACTTATTCTCTTCATTATTATAAATTGTATATTATACTATAGATAAATACTTGAGAATCATGCTAGAGTACTCATACGGATAACAGAAACATCATGCTCCTAGCAAAAATTCCTTAAGAGTAATATTAACAATTTAGCTGATGAAATTATTCTGTTCACTGGTCCATTCAATTTCTACTTAATTATTAAGTATCTTAATACTTTTGGAAAACAACAAAATATTGTAATTTGTCGACTGAACATTATTCATCTACTAACTAATTTGTTTTGATCATCATCAAACAATTAATAAATATATTTTTTAAAATAGATAATACCTTGATCTTAGGGACAGGGACATCCAATTGATTGGGAATGTTTGAATTCAGAAGCGCTGAGTAAATAATGTACAAAGAGTAAGCAAGTAAAATGTTATCACGAGGATTAAAACACGGATATATACAAAATATATTAATCTATACAACATATATTTGGTTTATTTTATTATGAAAAACAAAAACTTAGGAGTGGCATTCAATATAATAAGCCACAATAAGTATCGGTTGTAACAAAAACATATTCTCAGTGAATTAGGAAAAAATGTTAATCAAAGTATTTAAATGTTAAAGAAATTCCTGTTGATTACCCGTGAACATTTGGTATTATTATATATATATATATACTTTTTAATACAAAAACTACTTATAAAATACATGAGAAATAATTTAAACATTTTAAATCTAAAAATTAAAATTAAATAAACACTATTGACCAAATGAAAAAAGGGATATTTTTAATTTTTATTTTTAAAGTAATTTATTGTTATAATCATAGCTATCTATTTACATTATTCATTTTGTAAAATATATATATTTGTATCTTATATATATATATAATTTTTTTAATGTAACAAGGCAACAAACACAATGTGTTATATAAATAAATTACATAGAAGAGCAGGAGGAGCTGATTGGCTAGTATTTTCAAATTGTCATCACCACGGATATAAAAATAATTTCCGTCAGTTTAGTTTTCCATAATTGAGTGTGGTGGGTAGGAATATGTACAACAAATACATTTTTTGCACAGTTGCAGCACGAAAAATATTACTGTTTTATACACAAAAGACCTAAACATTAAATAATAACCTTTTTTTTAATAGAAATAATACAAGTAAAAAATAAAAAACAAAATTGTTTTTGAGTGTGATATTCCTGAGAAAAAGGTGTTGTTTTTATAAGTTTTTTTTTTCATTAACTTTGTCCAAAGCAAAAAAAGCAGCATTTTCACATCGAGGAACTCACTGTAGAACGCCAACAGCATTTGGAGAAGTTATTCCATTCCCACCTGCTAAAAAAAAAGTGTGATTTTTATAACTAAAATAGTAAAACACTTGTATATAATATCAACACTAGTATATTTCTTAGAAAAATATAATTGTTATAGATTTTATTACATTTAAAATTTAATATTGGCTACAAGGTTTAATTTAATAGTTGTAAGGATATTTATATCATACTTTTAAACCAGTAAATTTGTGTTGGGTCCACTGATAATTATCAATTAATAATAATTTAACCATTTTTTTTTAAAAAAAATTCTTAAGTGCCCATCTGGTTATTGATTTCCTAAGAGAATTTTGAATAAGAATAATATTCTTATGTTCTTATTACATATCTATAACATATTTATTATCTACATGCTAAATATGTAAACATTATTTTATAACTCTAAACTATTATTTCAAGTTATCATAACATCCATGAACAATATTTTTAGAAAAATACTTTTATTTAGTAATTTAAAAAAAAAAAAAAATAAAACATTAGTTGAAGAAACATTTAAGAATCGTAAGTTTGTACATTTGCTTAATAAAATACGAGTGATAACATTTTTTAAATTATAAATAGATATACATGTGTTTTAAGTTTTCAAAATAGAAAAAAAATCTGTAGTTATTATTATCTTCACAGAACATAGCTAGGTTAATGTTAAAATATTTCAAACCATAATTTTATATAAAAGACTGATATCATATAAATTTGACTTCAACCATTATTTTAAAAATTCAATATATTATGAAAAAAAATGTAATATTTATTTGTCTAAAATAACAAAGGTATTAAAGAGAAATACAACATACTTGAAGTACAGAACACCTTAGTTTAATAATTTAATACAATTTATAAAAATATCACATTTTTAAAATTATAACCAAATCTATAAGTAACTTACAATTTAAAATATACATTGTAAATAACTTATTTTAACAGAGTGAATAGTATTTTGATCTACCTAACGATCTAAAATTGATACATTTATAATAAAATATACATTTTGATGGAACTTTGAGTATTGTTTTAATGTTTGACTCGTGTTATGGTATATGATGATATTGCATGTTGAGGAATATTACCAGAATTGAAGTAAAAATTATATTTATTAATATTTTTAGTAAAACATTCAGTGAATTTAAATGTTTAATTATTATTTGAATTAACTTAAAAGTCTAATTAAGACTTAATTATAGCGTTATTGTATTATAATTTACAAAATAGATAATTTATTTAATTAATACATGATTATAAATTATAGTAGTAATTGGTACAAATTGTAATTTAAACTTTCAATATAAAACAAATATTGAACAATTTCATATCTCACATGACAGGTAAATGTATTTTACAAGTTATCAATGGTAAAAAGTTAAATAATAACAGTTAGAATGAATACTACATTTATTTAAAATCATTTTAATTTATAATTATTAAGTACCTGTAATTGGTGTTGGAGATACAGACGATGTGCCCAAATTAATTCGAGACTGCTCTTTTACTACTGGATCTATAACAACAGACATTTTAAAAAATAATTATTTATTACATACTAAACATTAAAATATAATATAAAGGATTCTACATGAATTTAGTATGATTATGTTGACCTGTAGATTAATTATTCAACTCATAACATTAAAAGATTAAAAACTAAAAAAAAGCTTTTAACAAGAATCAATTAAGATTTAAGTGAAATATATTTTGAATATTTTTGTATCAAGATTACAAAATTGTATTATTTTAATTCACAAAATTCGCAATTTTAAATTTGATGAACAGAAATTAAATTTGTAACAAATAACATAAAGCTGGTTATCTCTTAATCAATCAAGTTTTTCAAAAGTGGAATTTTTAAGTTTTCTTCTAACCACTTAGATGTATATAGAAATAAAATAATTTTGCTAAATATCAGTACATAACACTTTCAATGCAAATAGTATTTTGATACCTCGCCTACACTGCTGCACAAATATTGATGAGACGATTAAATGTACCTATATTCTCTGTCTAGCGAGAGAACACACTGTGGCCTGACAAAAAAGGTTCCTCAAGAACCATGTAGCCATTAAGACCAGTTTCATTATGACAGGGTGTCGCATGGGGACAAGGATGTTTTGGAGGGTACAAGGCGTAAACTCATAATAATATTTATAAAGAAATGTGTATTTCTAAAATAATATTAATTTTGTTAAGTGTACGATTGGTATACAGTATATACTATAAACTGGCGAATGGCAGTGGGCAATGAGTATAATATTATTTTATTATTTGTATCATTATTTGTCTTTTTTTGTTTTTAAATTCTAAATGGTTATTATCCGTGACTTGCCAGACCACCACGATACTGCTCGAGAACCATACAATGTAATCATAAATAAAGATAGTGTGTAAATAGATCATAGATCATAATATAAGGTCTATAAAATAGGTAGACAGCTGAAAATATTTATAGTAGATAAAAATATAATTATATTATAAGAGAAGTATGGATAATTTGTAGATTATTCGTGGCTTTTTTATTTTACATTTTAGTTTGAGATCTATTATATAATTATTGAAGTTAAAAAAAATGTGAGCCAGGATTTAGTAAAATTATACGCTTACCAAAAAAATGATAATATTATAAAATATAGAAGTAAAAGTATGTCTGGAGCTAGAGGGTTAAAAGTATTTTAAGAATTACCTGATGAAATGAATAATTGTTTAATTAATGATAAGTTCTTAGTTAATTACTCTATATAACATATTTTAAATGAGTCAGATTGAAAACTTTATACAAAATCACTATTCTAATTTAAATGAAGACACTTAACTCATAAATTTCTTTAGAATTGTATATCTCCAAATAATTAAGAATTTCAAGTAATAGAATATATCATCATTCTCATTTGAAAAATATATATGCATGAAGTACTTACAAAAATATGGATGATCCATTGCTTCTCTAGCAGTCAACCGTTCAAAATGATCATAACGCAAAAGTTTATCTAAGAAATCTAAAGCTTCTGGTGTTACAAGGTGTTGATTTTCACTATGCACAAAACGCTCCCACCGTTTTCTTGAATGCCTTAAATAAATAAAAACACCCAGTTTAATTAACTTAATAATTAAACTATTACATAACACAAATTTAAAATAGCAATTAATCATATACATACCTTCCTAAAATATCAGAAAATCTTGGATCCAATTCAACGTGATACTTGTCTAAATATTCAAATAGTTCTTCTGTTCCTAGAACCTTAGCAATACGCACAAGTTGATCGTAATTGTCATGTCCATGGAAGAATGGCTCTTTTCTGAATATCATGCTGGCCAACATGCAGCCCAGTGACCACATGTCTAATGAGTAATCATACATCTAGAATAACAATTTAAAATTTTGATATAAAAATGTAACCATAAAAATTAAAAACCAATAGATATTTTTAAATATAGACCTGATAATCAGCGAGTAACTCTGGACCCTTGAAATATCTGGAGGCAACACGCACATTGTATTCTTGGCCAGGATGATAGAACTCTGCTAAACCCCAATCAATTAACCGCAATTTTCTGTTTTCATGGTCGATCATAACATTGTGTGGCTTTACATCACGATGCATGATGCCCATACTATGGCAATAGTCCAATGCCTACAGAAAAAATATTTCATTATTTTATTGGTTTACTTTAATGACAAAAATTATAAGATTTTGTTGCTACATTTTGTTAGGCTGTGCTGATTTATTTAGATGTTGGGCATCGAGTAATCAATTCATCAATCATTGTGAGTAAAATAAATTTAATTAACTCATCAACAACGTCATATGATATTAATGTTTTTAAGTAAATACATATAAGTACCTTGAGCAACTCATAGAGATAAAATCTAATATCATAGTCATTCAACGTCTGGTAGAGTTGTTTAAAGTCCATATTGTTAACATGCTCAAATATAAGAGCAGGTGTACGGGATACAGGGTCTTTAACCACTGCTTGCAGCGATATAATATTGGTGCCACCCCTCAAATTTTCAAGAATTTTTATTTCTCTTTTGATTTTCTTTTTTTTTACGGGCTGTAAAACACAATACACATTTTAAAGTAATAAAAATTGTAAGAAATACAGCTCGTTATTAAAATAGTAAATTACCTTTAATATTTTCACAACACATTTTTCACTATTCGTTACATCAATTGCTTCGAATACTTCACTGTATTTACCTCTACCAAGTTTTCGTACCAATTGATAGTCATCTTGTTGCCTGAAACAATATAAAATATCTTAAGTTCAAAAATGCGCAAATACTAATAGTTGTATAAGACATTTTAATATGTTAAAAATAATAAAACTTTGAATAAGTAACATTAAAAAAAAATTGTTGTATATAATTATGACCCATTAAAATCAGGAACTGACAAAAATGACGACATAACAATAATACAATCAAAAACTGTTTTGTGGTCCTGGTAAAGAACCAGACACAAACAAAAATTATATTATGTGTTTATGAATAGAATATGCTTGTATTTCAGGTCTATGAATTATTTTAAAAAAATGTTTGAATAATTCCATAAGCATGTAACTAATGTCTAATATACATTAAATAACAAAATTTGAATTTAGGCACTAATAAATTAAGTATAGGTAATAAAATAAGTAAACAATATAAAAATAGGTACCTATGTAATGAATCAACTTTTTTTATAATAAATTACCTATAATATTATACATAGGTAAGTAGTTTAGGTACCTATACCCAAGTTATTTTCAAATATTTCAAAATAGTTTTGTCAATTCAAAACCTAAATATGGTGTAGGTACCCATATGAATTTAAAATTTGTAATTTGTATGAATTTAATCAAATAGCCAGTATCTAATTAAAATAAAATTGTCAAAAGAAACTATTCTATTAAAGTACTTATTCAGATGGGTATTTAAATAATAGGCTAACTAGTAGGGGAATGTTTAAATTGACATGTTTCAAATTTACATGGGTAAAAGATTTTCAAAAGGTTAACATTATAATGTTATACTATAGTAAATACAAATGATCATAAGACTTACCCCCATTCAACAGTGTAAGATTCATAGTCCCAGTATTCTCTGGGTTTGTGAGAATTTACATCAGCATAAACTCGCGCCCGACTTGGCAGCGCCATTTGATTAATGAACCTGACGGTGGTTTGATTGTTAGCAACTGTCCGAAACCTTGGTCCGGTCGCACTTAACACGCAGCCGGTGTCTGATGGTATCGGCAGTGACGGGTGATCGAGAAAATCAAAAAGAAATACACAGCAAATATTAGAACATACCTTTCAATGTTATACAGCGTTCTGACAATTGTCCAGTGCGACAACAGCGATGAGGCTGTGATAATGAAGACAAACTACTTACGTTACACAAACTTACGGTGCACATACAAATGCACGAGATTTTCTAGGTTATTGGTGATAATGAATGTGTCAAGTTAATACAATTTTAATAATATTATGAAAGGGTTTTCTTTTTAGCAACAATAACAATTAGGATTTATGAGGTATACATAATAATTTACCCAGGAAAAACGTATAGCACGGCGAAAGGCCGCGGAAAGTCAGTCTAAAATGAAAACGGCGCACCAACAAAGTACGCTGAAAGAAAAGCATGTAAGTCCATAAAGTGTGCGAAGACGTGTGTTCGGCGCGGAACAACGGTGACGGGTCAAGAAGCTGACGATATGATAAGTATCAGCAGCATTAGGGCGACGACGACGTTCATCAATAATTGTATTTCATTATTTTTATTATCAAACGTGCGGGGACCTCAATACGGTAGACGGCGGCGGATCGAAAGCCGCCTCGTTTACAGTTTGGCCGTCAAGGGAATCGCGCAATGACGTACGTATCTACCGACGGAACGCCGACGTCGATGCCGAATGCCGCCGCCGACGCCAGTTGCCTCCTACACGAGACGTCGACGGCGGGCGGCGGCGGGACGTGGACGGTAGGCACGTTTTCGTGTTTCGAGGAAAAATTTTTTTCCACCAAAATTCCAAAAAAACAATCAAGTACCCCCCCAACGTACCTGCTATAACATTTTCCGACGACGGGCCGTGTGCTCAGCTAAATGCCGCTAGCATGTTCCGCATACGGCGACGGTGGCCCAAAAGTAATCGCTGTCCCGACGATAGTGGCAAACCAGTGCGGCGGGGTGGCGGCGGCGACGACGACGGTGTGATGCGATGGATGGACGGAGAGCGCAAGCGCGTGTCGCGGTTGTGCGAGCCGTGAAAATCGTACGGCAAAAAATATTCGTAATAATATTGTTATCGTTGTCGTCGCGGGATTATTTTTCTGTCGGATTTCCCGTCACCAGAGCGGGTCGTGGAACAGGATCGGCAGCGGCAACCCCAGGGGCGGTGTGCGTGACGACGCGGGGCCGTCGACAAACGGTCACGAACGGAAATTTTTACGAATTTTTTTTTATTTTTTTTGTTCAAACGACTCGACGGCCGGCGGAACGGTACGATAATATTATGTCGATATATGTATACAATATTATGCCCGCGCGCGTGTGCTGAGAAAAAGAAACCGTACGCACACTCACACTCACGCGTATACACACACGCGCGCACTTCCGATACTCAACGACGTGAATCGGTGTATTTTTGGTGCGTGTGCGTTAACGTGCGTGAGCGAGTGTTTATTTGTGTGTGCGTGTGTGCGTGTGTATAGCGGCGCGCGCGCACTGGGCGAAGTCGGCATATAGTTGCGTTGACGGGGAATCCAAAATGGCCAGGCTGACCCGTTCGCGGGACCGACCACGACACGACGACGGTACAACTCCGTAGCCACCGCCGCGCCGACCGAACACGAACCGCCAAAGAGGTTGTAAACGAATAATGTCGCGCCAGATACTGAATTACGAATAAAATATTCATCTATAATAGATACCTATAATTATGGTCTATAATATTACTATTGTTTTACTATATGGATTATGGACATATAGTTACGTCTACTTGGCGTCTTTTAGACTTTGTTCCAATCATTTTTTTTTCTTACGTTTCACCTAAATCACTGTATGTGCTGGCATACGTTATCATCGTACAACGCCAAAATAACTTAATATCAAACGATATTAAAAACGAATGGCCAATTAATCAAAGTCAATCAGTGAAAATATTGAATTGTTTTACGTGATTATTTTATTTATTTATTTTTTTATATTTAAACAGGTTGACGTGTCCAATTACAAATATAGACGTATTATGTCTAGAATTTACAATAATTTTTTGTTATGACGCAGTGACAGCTATAATCTTACATATTATAAAGTAACAAATAGTAATTTATAATCAGTAAGTTGATACCTACGCTTAAGTATAATGCATGTGACTTTTGAATGTGTATAAACAAAATAATTCACTAAAAAAAAATTGTAAAAAAATAATGCAACAATGAAAACTGAACATGACATTGACACGAATGTAATGATTTTCCAGCCAAAATACTATTTAGCTAATAATTAAAAACCATCTATTAATAGTTTATAAACAGCCTCACAGGAAAACAGATCAACATTTAAATAGTTTACAAGTTGCATTAATCTATTTATAGGGTAATTTCGATCCTATAGTTCGAACGCTGGTTTATAACTCACTTTAAAGTTAAAATACCAATATAAAAGCTTAAGGTATACTCTATCCGGTATATCCTAATAATAGTATAATATTCTTTCACTCTAATATTACAACTAATAACAAAAAATCGGTTTTGCTGAACACAAATTTTCTATGATGTATATTATATTAGTAAGATTGAAGTAAGACGGATACAACACATGTGGCCACGTGGGTGTGGTGTCCTCTTTAAATATAGTACAACATTTTATACTGTATGTATCTGTCTTACAATTTACAAATGTGGATGTAAAAAATTACGAGTCGCGTTCATAGATAGCACACAATGTTTTTATTTGTTTTATTAAAAATTACTTATAATTTTACCTACCTACCTAAAACCAAGGTCAATATGCGTCTACAGTATTAATACCGATTTCGTGTCAAAGTGCGTAATTTTAAAATTTGCATTAATGGTATAACATAGGCAAGTACTTTGAGATAACTGTATATGATGTTACCTATTGAAAGATTCTCTTAAAATGTGTTTGTCATTAACTGTCAATGCATACCGATGAGAGTTAGAAATCCTGCAGTTATAAAAAATGATGATATCCAGATAAATTGTGGGTATCTGCGTATGAGTGTCTCGAGTAAATTCTCCAATACAATGCAGTTGTACTACACGCACAGCACATACTATTGTATTAATGTATTGTCTTGTGTAGTTGTGTGTGTCCGTGATATGTATATTATAGTAGTATGATTTATAGTACAAAATCGATTTTAAAACGGATTTTAAGTAGGCAAAAAAAAAATATAAACAATATATAATAATATATTGTGCAATTACCATCACAGTCACACACACACTCGTGTTTGTTTACTTTGAAGTTTGAACACACTAAAAAGTCACTTAAATACTGGCATGTTAAATTGTCTATGTATTCCTCAAAATACTATCGAATACAAATAAGGTTATTGTATTGATTGTACTCATTTCAAGGCGCTGTTGTACTATATTTATTATTTTTATGTGTATACTTTGTAGTCTACTTATTATAAAATACAGGCGTCCGATAACATTAAAACATATTAAAAATATATTAAGTTGTAGCCATTATAGTATAAGTACCAACTACCAATACAATTATTATTTGTGTAATCCACATGTATTGGCGTACACAGAATTTCATTGGGGGATGTTATATTAGAAAAACACATTTATATATACAGAGTGATTTTTTAATCATGCTCACCCCCAATTTTCCCTTAATAGAAAATGTATTCAAATTTTGATTCTTAGTATTCCTAAATATTCCTAAAATCAATAATTTCAAATTTCAGATATTTTCTGTACTACTTAAGAAGTACCTACCTTTGGTGGAACAAATTTCTTTTTTTTTCATATGAAAACCGCCATTATTATTAAGTGGATGATTTTATCGATATTGAACGATTTAATAATAATTAGTAAATTTCCTTTTTTATTAGTAATGTGATTCTTAATTTAAAAACTTAGACTTTTACAAGATAGGTAGATCTTCTAAATTGTTTATTTGAAAACAATTGAAAATGTTGGTTGATTATATTTTCATTTACATAATAGTTACATAATTTATTATTTATATAACCTACCAACCATTGACATAGTTTAGATATAAAGTTACATAATGTAATAATGTACCTATCTTTTATTAGATTCTGAGCGGAGCAATGAATGTTCAATGTATTGATTTTACAATTTACAATGATGAGTGTGTTTTTTTTGTGTCTGTCATCACCATTTGGAGTAGTAAAAATACTTGGATTTTATACTTCAGCATTTTTTCTGGTATAGGTAAATTATTATAGTTAGTTCTTATAATGGTCAAAATTGAGGGAAATTGGGCACTTTTACACAAAACCAGTTTGTATCCATTTTGATTTATTGCAGGTGTAACACAAAAACGAATTACCTACCCATCGTATAGGTATCTACCGTACTTCACATTTTCACCAGCTGTTTATTTTATAATTTTCTATTATACATGATGAAATGTTCAACAATTTTTTACTCTTTTTAAGTTATCTAGGTACCTATAGACATTTTCAATTTCTAATTTTTTCAGTTTCTTTTTATAAATATCATTGATATTTTTTGTGAAAAATTAATTCAACTTACTGTATTACTAATGTCTAATAGTAAAATAAATTACTTTAATAGCAAAAATATCATAAAATATACTAAGTAATATAGGCTAACTGGCCATCTTTGCTCAAAATATTTATATAATGATTTTATATCATTGAATTCAAATTTAACACAATAGATATATATTACAGGGTCCCACACGAGACCTGATGTACAACAGAGTGGTACAAACTTGACTATCTTTTTTTTCTATTGAATATATTTACTATATTGATTTAGTATATTTTGTGATAATTTTTTTGTTTAATCTTTTTTTTACACTTTTGCTTGCCCCAAAACTCAGAAGCATAGATTGTATAAAAAGAAAAGAGTGCGCACAAGACTTGAATTTTTTAGACCATACCTTCACTTTTGAATAATATGAAACATAAATTAAATAAGTTTTATTTTTATTTGTTATGTATCACAAGTTGTATGACTAATAACTATTAATAAGAAAACTAGAAAAGTCTCATAGATTTTAGATATAATGTACCTATTTAATTATATAAAATTAATAAATAATAATCATATTTATTATTTACGCACTATAAAATAATATAGTTTAAATATAAAGTTATGTACTATATTAGATACTTGAAATCATTTTATAAAAAGTAAACATACTTCTTAATCAATAAATTGTTATAACTTATAATAATAATTAATAAGTTCTATTTACAACTAGAGGGTGTTGCAAGTTGTGTTGTCATGTTATGTGACATTACGAATTCTCATGCTATTATAACGACGATAGACGATTGACAGTAAAAATTCTTTGTACCTATTATTAATCTAAATTCAAAAGTAGTTTTTTTAAACATGAAATACAATATATCATATTATTAAATTATTATCTTAGTATGTTAGTA